TATATATATATATATATATATATATATATGTATATATATATATTTATATATATATATATATTTGTAGCTGGGCGCCAGTGGCTCACACCTGTAATCCTAGCTACTCAAGAGGCTGAGGTCTGAGGATTGTGGTTCAAAGCTAGCCTGGGCGTTCGTGAGACTCTTTATCTCCAATAAACCACTCAGAAAACTGGAAGTGGCATTGTGGCTCAAGTAGTAGAGCACCAGACTTGAGCTGAAAAGCTGAGGACCAGTGCCTAGGCCTAGAGCTCAAGCCCCATGACAAAAAAAAAAAATAGTGATATAAGTAATACCCCAACCTGGAGCTGTTCTGACTTGACTAGGCTGACCTGTCTTGTTGTTTGAAGGTCATGGAGGCAGAACAGACCAAGACAAGAAGTGAGCTGGTGCACAAGGAGACTGCAGCCAGGTACAATGCTGCCATAGGCCGCATGAGGCAACTGGAGAAGAAACTCAAGCGAGCCATTAACAAGTCCAAGTAAGTGTGGGTATAATCCTCCCTGGAGCTGTGGGGTTTGCCTCTCCCACATTTTCGCCTTGCACTAAGATCCCCTGCCAGGCTCCATTGCTCTCCTATGAGACTCCCAGAGTCAAAGGCAGAGATTCTGAAGTATAACCCACTCCAAATATGAGAGACAGACAAAAAGGACTAACAGAAGCAAACCATTATATAGCTTGTCTCTGTGACTGACAGTGTGGACAAGGCCCTGTTTCTCAGTTTACCTGGCAGAATAATGGGGAAGAGTTGTATTTACTATACATATTTCTTGGAATGCTCTAAGACGAGTGTGAATGGGGATTTAGCCAGGTGTGGGTGGCTCACACCTGGAATTCTAGCTACTCAGGAAGCTGAGATCTAAGGACTGCAGTTTAAAGCCAGCCTCACCAGGAAGTTTGTGAGACCTTTATCTTCAATTAGCCACCAAAAAGCCAGAAATGAACTTGTGGTTCAAGTAGTAGAGGACCAGCCTTAAGCAAAACAAAAAATTCTAAGGGAGCACACCCAGGCCCTGAGTTCACACTCTAGTACAGGTAGAGGGTTATCACACTTTTTCCAAGGTCTTCTCATTTACCCTTATTATTTGCACAAAGTTAACAATCAAACAATGTCCTTGCCATCATTTAGTTGATAAGGATGCAGGACTCGACTTCACAGAGGAGGAGGAGCTCAGTACAGCATTGCTCTATCTTGCTGCCTATCCCAAAGCTCCTACAAAAAAGGAAGTGGAGCTGTGGCTCGAGTGGTAGAATGCTAGCTTTGAGTACAAAAGCTCAGGGGCAGCCCACAGACCTTGAATTCAAGGCCATCTAGGGCTACACAGTGAGAAGTCTCATCATAAAAAATAAATACATACATACTTCTTTGAGGAAATTAATAGGTAATCTAAGATTAATCTAATTTCCCAAGAAAACAGTATTTTATATTGGAAAAGTATTGTCAGGTAAAACTAAATAGCCACATATGGCTTGGCCATGACTGGGAAAGAATATGGAAAAATAAAAATCAGACCAAATCTAGGGAACTAGGAGAAAGCTGACATTTGTTTTCCTCTGCCTGGTCTGTGACCTAGTTGGATCTGCCAACAATCTGCCTGGTCACATTCCAGAAGGACCAATCCAATCTGCTCTTGGTGGCCCTGCTGTGCCCAGCAAGAGAGAAGCAGTACTCTTCTCCCTTCTGCACTGGACCTCAGCAGAAGTGGTTTAGGCAACCTCTTCCCCAAGCCTGTCTGATCTTCATCCCTGGAAAGTGAATCCAGGCCTCCTTTACTGTTAGACATACATGTGTGGCCTCAAGCAGCCTCCTTAAGAGATAGGAGGAACCAGGATGTAAGGTCTCCAGTATGTTGAGATGAGCCTCCTGGTCCTCTGACTGGTGTCAGGCCCTAGGAGCTACAACTTCACTGCATGGCCTTGTCACAGTTCATTAAGACCTAGAAGGCTCACAGGCCAGCTACAGCTATATTGTGTAGAGTTCATTGTGCTAAGCTCTGACCATTTTCTTTCCTGTCTTTCGCAGGCCTTATTTTGAACTCAAGGGAAAATACTATGTGCAGCTTGAGGTATGTATGTGTGGACTAAGATGCATTGCTCATGGGTTTTTCTACACTCAATTGACCTTTTTGGGGTAGTAGGCCTTCAAACATGACCCTGGGAAGGTGGTTCAGTGGTAGAGTACTATGGATTCGATTCCTCAGGACCACATAGGCAGAAAAAGCTGGAAGTGGCACTGTGGCTCAAATGGTAGAGCACTAGCCTTGAGCTGAAGAGCTGAGGGACAAAGCCCAGGCACAGAGTTCAGGCCCCACAACTGGCAAAAAAAAAAAGACCCTGGTGATAAGGAAAGAATAGAGACACACATTCGTTAGTTTTCAGGCCTCAAAATGGCCTTGGTTAGCCAGGTGTTAGCTCATGCTTATAATCCTAACTCTTTACAATCTGAATAGTGTGGTTTGAAGCCAGCCTGGGGAGACAAATCCAAGACAGTCTTATCTGCAATTAACTAGCAAAAAAGCCAGAAATGAAGGTGTGACTCAAGGTGTAGAGCACCAGCCGTGAGTGAAAAAGCCAAGAGACAGTGCAAGGCTCTGAGTTCAAGCCCCAGAACTGTTGCATACATGCGCATACACATACACACAGTCTTGCCTGGGTTTTCAATAGTGTCTGAAGCTAATGGCCAGTGTCATTACTCCTAGGACCAGAAGCAGCCACATCTTACACCTGCCAAATCAGAATCTTTAGCAAGGCCAGCAAACTTAGTTGTAACTCATTCGGGGATTCAGACACAGTTTGAGAAATGGATGGGATAACCAGGTGGCTAGGCTGAGACTTTTCTTTGGTGCTGATACTTGGGCTTGAACCCAGAGCCTTAGCTTTTTACACTAAACGCTGGTGCCCTTCCACTTGAAACATCCTCTATTTCTGACTTTTTGGTGTTTAATGGAAGATAAGTTCTCAGATTTGTCTGTTTGGGCTGGCTGCAAACCAGGATCTTCAGATCTTAACCGCCTGAGTAGCTAGGATTCTAGGCATGAGCTATCTGTACCTGACTAAACTGTACCTGGCTAGGTTGTGAGACTTCTGTGTGCTTGGGTGATGTTCCTTCCCTGAGGCTGTACTACACCAGTGTTTCTGGATGACACTCTTGTCACTTAGAATAAGGAGGAATGACCACTTTTGGCCTCTGAACAGGTAACTGATGAGAGTAATCAAGTCGCTACCTTGTTTACATCTTGGGAAATTCTCTAACGTAGAGTCATGCATACAAACAGAATCATGCACACACACAAACTGTACTTGGTCATTTAAAAAGTATCTCTGGGGCACAGAAAGGAAGGAAGGGTGAACAAATGTAGTCATGTTATTTGATATACTCTGGAAAATGACTTAAATAAACGTGTGTGCAGGGATGGAAGGGGGTACTGGGGGAAAGCAAAGGAGTGACATTGTTCAAAAAAAGGAAATGTATTCATTACCTGACATATGAACTAATAACTGTTCAACTTTAATAACAGTAAGATTATTTTTTAAAAATAGCCAGGTACTAGTGGTTTGTACCTATAATCCTAGCTACTCAGAAAAGTCAAATGTGAGGATCATGGTTCAAAGCCAGCTCAGACAGGAGAGCCCATGAGACATTTTTCCCCTTGGTTCTTTTTTTAAAAAATTAATTTACTTTATTGTCACTATAAAGATGATGTATATAGGGATTGCAATTACATGAGTCAGGTAATGAGTCTATTTCCTTTCATACATTGCCTTCTGTTCCCTCACTCATGAGACTCTTTTTTTTTTTTTTTGGGGG